ATCTCCCCAAAACCCCAAAACCCCAAAACCCCAAGGCTATTAAAATAAATTGAATCAATAGAAATTACCTTTTTCTCAATGCAAACTAATTATTAATATTTTTTGTTTGAATTATAATTGGAGGTAGGTAATTTTATCGTATTTTGATTGGTGGTTACTTTCTTCGTTTAAAATATTGAGCATCTCCAACATGTGCTTTATATTTCATTAGGATATCTTATTTGGCTTCTGGGTGTTAAGGAAGGAGTTATTGAAATTTCTTCATTGTTGAGAGAATTTTGAACCGCTATTTTTGTAGTTTTGAATGGATACTTCAGAGCTAAATCTCTGAATGTAGTAGCTTCAAGTAAAGAAATGAATAATACAGATTTAATCCCACTTGAAAAATGAGAGTTTGATATTAGCTTAAATATCGCTTCTAATCTTTCAGGGTGATCATGCCAATTACTCAAAGATTCGTTGCAACAGTCCTTGAATTTTAGGCATTTGATGGTAGGCTTATTGTCACTTAGAATATCTATTTTGCTTCCATATATGGTTCATTTATCGAATTCTACCCAAAAACTTGAAGTAATATTATTGAATAATAGACTCATTTGCCTATTTGAGAACGTTAAATGAGCAAATTTTATTACTCCTGCTCACTTCAGTAAGAATCTGGCAAGAGATGGCATCAATATTTTAGAGCTGATGGAATGATTTCTCTCTTTTCCTGATACAACTAAATTTTCTATGACAGTTGGCTTTTATGTCTCAAGAAACTTCACAATAGTCCGAAGCTTAGAGGCTGTAACATTTTGGAACTTAAGGCATGGACTTAGAGGATGTGGATATTTATTTATTCAATTGAAGTAGTAGTTATCCAAATCGAGTATAGTATCCTTTGGGATTTCCCCATAATATTTTTGGTTTCTAATAAACGGTCAGTGTAGCTCTGTTATTCCGTATGAAATATTAGATGATCTGAATTGGAAGTCATGAAACATCCAGTAATCTAGTTTCTCTTCCTCTTTGAGTAGTTCTTGCTCAGATTGGTGCTCCTTGCTTTCCATATTTATTATCAATTTTCTAATATATTTCAGGGGTTTTGGGGTTTTGGGGTTTTGGGG